AACTATAATATAGTGATGTAAAGATGTAGAAAATGAAATAGACTATGTTATACAATATATCCCGTTTACGGCTATATATACTTGATACAACAACTGCTTTTGCCTGTAGCATATATTATAACAAAATAAATACACTCTCAATACCGATTTGCAATAAATTCGGGATATAGGAAAGTTTGATTCAGTTCACATGGCGCACATTCTAGTTGAGAATTCGCGTAAGCCCCTTTTGGGTAGACGCCTCGCTGACAGCTCCTATGTTGAGCGCTGATGTTGATGTTGATGGCGCTGTCGATGGCAGCATAAATTAGGCACAAACTAATTAAATGCGTTTCAATTGAAGTTGCAACTGACAGCAGCAACAGCAGCAGCAGCAGCAGCAGCAGCCACAGCAACGTCAGCCGCAACGAGCTAATGAGCAGAATGTTTGCATGTGTTTGTATCTTGCAGATACACGTACTCAATTCGCAGTTGCATGTGTCTGTGGCTTACAGCTTACAGACACACGTACTCACTCGCCAAGTTGATGGCGTAAACACGTTCGTGTTCTCGATGCTCTGGCAGCGTCTATAAATTGCAATTCGCCAAACTCTTTAGCTACGTTCTCTTTCTTTTTTATGTTTTTCCCCCATCGATTAGCTTATGTTATTCGCAGGCACAAGACTTTAAGAAAATTGACCGGAAAATAAATGTAAAGTTAAAGAGGTTTATTTTGTGATAGTAATTGGCAAAAACTTCTGTTATTTATTAAACGCAAACGAGAGTTTTTCTTTATATTCATGAGCGCACATATCTTTATAATACCGAATATTGGATTTTATATGATACTAAGATCAAGTTTGTGCTTTAATAAGTTATGTCCGATATTTGAGCTATTTTTATTGTAATGTTTATATTAAAATCATTTTAATAATGTTAAAAAGTCTTTTTTTTACAGTTTTTCCTTTTTATACCCTGAACCCATTGAAAATGGGAAATCAGGGTATAATGGTTTTGTGAAAAGTATGTAACAGGCAGAAAAAATCATCGCAGACCCCATAAAGTATATATATTCTTGATCAGGACGACGAGCTGAGTCGATATAGCCCTGTCCGTCCGTCCGTATGAGCAAAAGGATCTCAGAAGATATAAGAGCTAGAGAGCTGAAATTTGGCATGCATACTCGTGTATACCATAGGCAGTACGAGTTTGCTTTATTTTTTCGATAACTCATCCGATAACTTTTTTATCGAGAATAATCGAAAAATCGACTTGGTTTTTTCAGCTTAATTTGAACACTTTTAAACCTGGAGACTTCAAATTTGCGTTGTATATAGAGTTAATAGATATAAAGATTTTGTAATTTACAGATTTTGGATACCACGCCCCCTTCGCCCCCAATTTGTAAAAAACGCATTTCAAGTACTAGAGACTTGTGCTTTGGAATGTACACACACTTTTACTATATGATTACGCTCTAAAAGTTTCATTAAGATCGTGTGTCTACAAAAGAAATTATTCAACAAATAAATTCTCATAATATTGCCCACATTGCAGCGCAGCCTAAGCGCTGTCGCTGCTTACTGCGCAGCTAGCAGAGCGCGTGCTTATAAGTGCATGTGTATGTATGTGTGCATAAAAAAAGTCCAGAATGATTAGAATATCAGCTTGGAGGAGGGTTCAGGGTATCTCCTAGTCGAGCAGTCTCGACTGGAGCCTTCTTACTTGTTTCTATTGAATATTAATAATTAAATATTATTTATTTTTTTTTTTTTTAGTAATGAAGTATTAGTTTTGGAGTCTTATTATTTATGTTTTTATTATTATTATGTTATTATTTTTTCCAGACATTTTATATTCATATCTTAAAATTTTCATCTTTCTTTTTTATTGTTTTTATTTATTTTTTATTTATTTATTTATTTTTTTTTTAATATTAATTTATGTGAATATTTATTTGTGTTCTATTACTATTTCCTATTATTTTAGTTTTCACTCTGTAGACCCATTATTAATGTTTACTGGGCTACGCGTTCCGCTAGCAACGAATTTGTAAATTTCGTTTGCTGATTGTCAATTTTCCAAATGACTTTTTCATTGCCTACTTTTCACTTGCAAAACTTTTCCGCTTTTGGCAACAATTAAAAGCGCTGACTCAGCAGCAGCAGCAGCAGCGGCAGCAGCAACGGCTGCCGTCGCAGTTGGCCCGTTCCAAAACGGTTGGCAACAGCAGCAAATCAAATATGGCCAAAAACGGAAAGTCAGCCAAATGTCTCAGCCAGGCGGCACTTGAGGGCCAACAAACTTTTACCCCAGAGCCGCCAAGTCTGCCAAGTCTCTGTAGCTGTTATTATTGTCATCATCATCATCATTATCATCATCGCCATCATAATCATTGTTATTGTTGTTGCCTGCTCTTGGATCATAATGACACACATATGAGTACTCCAGCGAGTAGAGACATAATTACCGCGCTGAACCGAGCCCAAGCGACCAAAAATGATCTCTCGACTGACAGCTGACGGAGTAGCTAGCTGCTAGCTGCTGGCTGGTAGCTGTTAGCTGTTAGCCGGAGCCGTTGACTGATTTATGAAAGACACTTTTGCAAGTCGCCCAACTTGATTTTTTATTTTTTACTTTTTTTGAGAAACCGTTACGGCTCTGCGCTCCAACAAGTGTCTGTCTCTCAATCTGTCTCTCCATCTCCATCACCATCTGCCTCTCTGTCTGACAGTCTCTGTCTCTGTTTAAATAAAAACATATATTTATATATGTATTTGTATAGGTATATATGTGTGTATCTATCAATCTTTCTATCTATCCATCTATCTATTTGTCAGCACATTCACCGAATCTTTTGTCTGAATACCCTTTATTTCAAACAGCCAGCAAGGTAGATTAAAATTAGTTCTTATCAATTCAAGTTGAAGAAGCGAATCAGAAAGTTTTTTTTAGAATTTATGCTTTGATACCTCAAACGTGATTTCTAAAACATAATTAAGTTTAACGAAAAATTTAAATATGTAGACAACAAACAACTTTGTTTAGTCTTTATGACATTTCGTTATTTTATTATAAACATGGGATTCAATTTAAAAACGAGCAACATATTTGTATTGTATTTACTAAGCAAGACTTTGATTTCGGCAGAGTATTTGCAGTGCGGCTTTATGCATAGTTAGTTGAGGTATTCTCAATTTTGGTCTATTACGAATTGAAGTGTTTTGTTGTCTCTGAGCTGTTGTTGTTTGTTGCCAAGCACCCAAATGGCTCAGTTTTCTGTTTCTGTTTCTGTTTCTGTTTGTGGCTGTCTTCTTCTCCGTCTATGTCTACGTCTACGTCTACGTCTACGTCTACGTCTACGTCCACGTCTCCGTCTCGCCTGGCCTGCTGACCTGGCCTGAACTGAACTGAACTGGGCTTTTACGTCTGGCCAGACCCGTCGTCTCTTTGGCTGGCTGCTTGTTTTCTGTTGTTTGGCAATCACGATCGTTAGATCTCAGCTTTCAAAGAGTCGTGGCCCAGTTGCTGGCTGCCGGCTTTCCGCGCGAGTCTAAACTTAATTGTCAGCCTAATGGTAATGTCTGTCTTTCTGCCGCTGCCACGAATCAGCTGATCTGCCGCTGCGGCTGTTTGCCTGCCTTGATGACTGTTGCCTGATAATGATGAGTAAGCGCTTTTAATGCCTGGATGCAAAAAGAAATGCTTAGAACACCGCATCCGTACTCCACATGGATTCATGTGGCGTTTCACTAACAAAGCGTATAATTATATTTGTAAGCAGAACGGCCATCAAGTCCAACTATATTTAAATAAACAGCAGCTGTGCACATATACGTATACACACATATGTATAAATGAAATAGATCTCAAACTATTAATTTTATACAATAAAAATATCTATGATTACCTATAATTTAACTTATTTGTATTTTTGCTTCACTTGTATAAATATTCTGTTTTACATACAATTAAACGTATTATTTTCTTCTAAACATTATTTATTATTTCATTTTCAAACATTACCGACGGATACGGCTTGCTTCCAAGTTTAATCAAAACTAATTGAGTTTGCTTTCAAGACTGATCAAACTTGCTCCTGAGAGCGATCAAACTTGTTCTTGATCTAATTTGCTCCTGAGACTGATAAAGCTTGCTGCTGAGATTGATCAAACGTTCTCTGAAGACTGATCAAACTTGTTCTCGAGACTCGAACGATATGTGAAGACTGATCAAACTGATCAGCCGAGACTGATCCAACTTATTCCTAAGACTGATCTAGCTTGCTTCCGAGACTGTTCATACTTACTCCCCGACTGATCAAACTAGCTCTGAATGATACCTGATACTGATCAAACTTGCTCTCTGAGCTGATTAAACTTCCTGTCAAGTCTAATCAAGTCTGCTATTAACATTATCAATGTTGATCACGACTGATCAATGCTGCTCACATGGCTAATCGAAATTCCTTTTCAAATATGATCAGGCCCTCTCATAACATTGATCAGACTTGCTCTCAAGACTCATTAATAGGCTCATCAATGCTAATGATGCATGCTATCATCATCAATACTGACTCACATCAAACAGTTAATTACCTAAATCAAGTTGGATGATTGACATTGTAGCATTGTATTAAAGTTGCTTCAAAACCGAAGAGAATAAATCGATTTTGTGGAACATTTATTGATAAACATTTTTTTGCCAAACTACCTTTTTTTTAATTTTTATCCAGAAACTAAATAACACCCATTATAAATAACACCTAGTTAAAAAATATTTGAGTGTTTGCATTTTCCTTCAAAAGTTTAGTAGATATTTTTACTGTTAACAAAACTACTTTCTGGTTTGAGTTATATTTATAGAACACTGTCTAATTTTAATTTCTTAGATCATTTTACCCCATTCAGCAGAGACAACTGTCAGGACTGAGTATATATTTTCGTTTTTAACAAATCTCAATAATTTAAATTTAGTTCAAACCTCTGGAAACTCTGTTCAAAAACAAAAACCAAAAAAAAAAAAAAAAAAAATTAAAAAATCCATTGTGTTTTTTGCTTTTTTTTTTTAATTCGTATAGGAAATTGTTTAGCAAATATAACCTTAAATAGAATGCATTCACGCGGCTCTTACTCCCGGTCTGCGGACTCGAGACTTTCCGGCGACTTTGAAGATCCTCGTAAGCGTGGCATCTTGCGGAACACGAGCTGCCACTCCTATCGGCAGCAGCTGCAGAGCAGCCAGCATGCCAATATGCTGCAGGGCCTGATGCTACTGACGGGCATGGCCACATTGGTGTTGGTGCTCTGGCTGCAGAGCATGGAAACCACATCAGATGATCAACTTAGCCTGCAATCGTGCATATCCAGCTCACTGAATGCCCTCTGGCTGGGCGTATCGGGCATCCTAGGTCTGGACACCGTAGCAAAAAGTGCTCACATCCAGTACCCGGATCCAGATTCGCCACGTGCCTTTCACTGCAATCAGAAACTGGACACGATGCGCATATTCCGTCAGATCAGCAAACAGGTGATCAACCAGGAGCAGGCACTAGCGCGACTAGAACGCGCCGCCAAGAGCAACAGACCATTGCGATCGGTGGCTCTGCTTGGTCCACCGGGCGTGGGCAAAACACTGACCGCAATGGTGTTGCGCCAACAGTTTCCCTGGCCGGAGAACGTGCACAGCTACTCATGGAGCACCTATGTCCCGGACGACGCCCACAAGTTCAATGTGATACGCAACTTTGTAGAGGAGCTGTCCAGCTGTGGCCAAAATCTGCTGATTATCGACAATCTGTCGCCCTGTGACTACAGCTTTGTGCCCATCTACAACAAGCTGCTGCTGGAACGCGAGGGCGACTCCCACAAGGCGGCCAATCAAAGTGTGCTGGTGATTTACATATTCAACCTGGAGATGCAATACTATTGGCAGCAGTACGAGCTGCTGCAGCAGCTGCCCATGGAAACGACCATCATTAACTATCGCCCGTTCGGACGAGCCGAAGTGTTGGACTGTCTGGAGAACGAGTTGCGCTTGGAGCAGCGTACGCTGGACTTGCAAGCAATCTCCCACATCGTTGAGGAGGTGATGCTCGATGTCGAGGACGCGGGCTGCAAGCGCATACGTCCACTCCTGATACAGCACGGTCTCTCGGATCCACATTAAGTCAAGCTATCGTCGTTGCTAATCCATTCCAAGTTTCGTCTAAAATTTTAACGTAGTCAACTTGTCCAAATTTTACCGTAATAATCATACTAGTGTACTTCACCGGAGGCCAATAAAACAATAATGAAATTGTCTTGCTCTAAGGGTCTATGATGTTTATATTTATATAACACACATGTATATAGCTTGGAATCGAGAGGACAGATCTTTGGTTTCCACTTCAGTCTGAGTACAATAAAATCTTAAAAGTGAATGTCGTAATTGCTATAAGCGAGGTCAATTTATTAAGAAAACAATTCTTCATATGTTGCTTGTGCTGTAAATAACAAGTGAGCTTAAAATCTTGCAAACGTTTAGAAATTTGAAGGGTTTTCTTGTTTATGATTATGATTAGAGCTGCAAAACCATCTGCAGAAGTTATGTAAGCGATATAGAAATTTAATACCAAATCGGTAAATTTATATGCTGAAATTATATTATTTTTAAATTAAGGTAAAATGCCATTAGAAATTAATTATATATCACCAGCTGAGCTCTATATAATTTGGCATTCAGTTAAATAACTCAAGCTAAAATAAAGAACTCACACAGAAAATTTAAATGTATGAACTAGACTTGAAAAATGTTTTGTGTGTGGTAGATCTTTAGAGAAAAGTGAACGATGCATACTTTGCCCTAATGAAGTTTGTACTTGCTTCTTATTATTCCAGTCTGGCCTCTGGTATCGTTCATGGCATATCTTGAGTGAAGTGCGACGAAGAGGTGACTCAAGTGGCCAGCATTGAAGTGCGGCCCATGCAAACGACAAGAGTAGATTCTGAGACGAGGGCTTGCAAAGCGAGAGACATACTGAGTGAGAGGGAGACACAGAGAGAGAGAGAGAAGCGCGCTCGCGCTTACATTACGCACTGCGTTAAGTACTGACTGCTTAGAAATATTTGTCTATCACTCGAAATTCGGAGGTTGCTTCATCATCATCATCATCATCATCATCATCGTCGTCGTCGTTGTCAGCACATCATAATTTCAAGTATAGAAAAGTGCCTTGATTTTGTTTCTGCCTTTGCCAACGTTTCGCTACAATGGAATATTTTCTGAAGAGCTACAACCAAAAGTGAGACATCGTAAGACATCATGATAAACACGATGTGTGTGAGGAGCCTCCTCTCCTGCTGCTACGCACGAGATTATGTGTATATAACACCTATAACAGGCTTTCACTGTCAGGAACTTGGCAACAAGCTTCCGCTAAGTGCGACAATTGAAACAGAAAAAGTTTGCAATTAAGCTAATTTGAACCGTAGACTAAGCCCACAGAATTAAAGACTTAAGTACTTTAAAATTTCCTTTCAGGATTTTAATTGAAGAAATTTACTTATATACATTACATTAAAATTATATATATTTTGTAAAATTTTATAAAACTTAATAAAATTTGATAAAAAAAATGTATTTCTGTTTTTGGTTTTTTTTTTTTTTAATTAGCAAAAAGTTAATTAAAGGAAAAAGTTTAGAATGTATCTTTAATATATTTATCTTTATATTATTTTAATTATTTATTATTTAATTCCAATAATTAATATATATTAATATAGCTTGTTCATTCTAAATAAAATAACATTTTATTTAATTTAAAGTTTTGCAAAAAGTTTATATAAAATTCCATTGTATTCAAATAGACTAAAAAATAGCTAAATTTACAAAATATAGCATATAAATTAATTTTAAATTGAACTGAATTGCATTGAAAATAAAATTTACATTTCATTAATTTAGAGACTTGAATCGAATCCAACTAAACAGGTTGAATATGATATTAGCAGTGAACTTTCAACAGAATCTAAATTGATTTGCAATTAGTTTTGCAAAGGAAATTGAACTTATTTTGAGCATTTTTTTTTTTCACATCTGCAAGCAAATTAAAATTTAATGCAATTAATACAACATGAGATGGAGATTGAATCAATTTAAATACAAATTTATATATGCTAGCAGAGACTGAAGCAGAGACTGAAGCGACAGCGACAGAGACAGAGACAGCAGCGATCTTTTTCATTCAGACAAACGAATTGCAGGTGAGGGTATCAAAGCAGATGAAGCTTTTTTAAAGGTTCTGTCAAAGATAATACAACACAGTAAATAAAAATAATATTTTAAATATGTAAATATATAAATTTGAGTATCAAATTCTTACACTACATTCAGCACAAATACATATATTTATATACTCTTTTTATGACAGCAATTTTATAATATTTGTTTACCACAGTTAATGTTATGAAATTTATGAATATAAAATATACCTTTTTTTTTTTTTTTTTGAATAAAGACAACTTTATAATTTTTTTTAAGTTAGTTTCAATAATGCTACGCAATTTATGCGTTTATTTTGTTTTTATCACCAGCTGGCATCATAAAGGTGCTTATAATATTTATGGTATAAAAGCAAGAAACGATTCAACGATTAAATACTTTCTTCTCATCAGATTTATACCCTGCATTTTGTATTATTTTATTATTTACATGTATTTTATATATATAATTTAGCTTAAAATTAATGCCCAAATATTGAAATCCAACAAAAAATTAAGACAAACACTGCGCTCTCTCAATTTATAGTGCTCATTTAACCTATTTATACTACACATTTGAAACATATTTAAATCTCAAAAATGTCAAATTTCGCTCACATCGCAAATATATATTATTATTAATAAATAAGCTAAGCCGCTCCTGTTTCGTATATGCTCAACAGCAACCAAACATTGCTGCAACACATAAAGTAAAATCATCAAGAGCTGAGAGCATCATAAAGTCTTTATTGCCCTCATCTTACGATATATTTCATAGGCGGCACAGCTGAGAGTATCTTAAAGTCGATTATCTTTGAGCTATTCGCGGACAGTGCGTTCGCCTGTGATACGGCAAAGCGTAAAGAGCCAACAACCGCATCGAGGACAGGCCGCGTGGCCGCGCGGCTGCCAGTTGCCAATTGGCAATTGGCAATCGCCGATTGCGGATTGCAATGCGATGCAATGCAAAGCGTAAAACGCAGCCAGCGGCGTTTGTAGTTCATGAACGGCCAGCGAACTCAACGCGACTTGATAATAAGATACACATACAATATATGAGAAAAAAAAACAACACAAAAAGTAGACAAAAAACGAATACGAAAACGAATATCTGTAGCTGTGGGCGAGCGACAGAGGCGCGGGCTAAGGCTGGGTCTGGGGCTTGGACTGGAGCTGTGGCTGGGGCTGGGGCTGTGGCTGCGGCTGCGGCTGGGGGACTGTAGGCATGGCAACGGCTTGCACCATGCACCGGTAACTTTTCTCTGTGTTTTCTGTTTTAGTTTTTCAGTTTTTTAGTTTTGTATAGCTTTTTGTTTGCTGCCTGCTGAAATTGAGTCGTTCGGCCGGTCACGTAAGCACCGCACCGATTCCAATAGCGATTTGGCCAGCTTTGTTTTTGGGCTGTCGCCGTTTGCTGGCCCCGGGTTGCATAAGCCCCACGAATTTGATTTTGGCAACGCGGAAGATACCAAGCCACAGGGATGGATATGCTCGTATGTGACTGAAGCCAAGCATCTAAACGATTTCGCCCGAAAGCCATTTTGAAGTCAAACAATTGCAATCGCTACTTGCATCTCGTTTGATCGCTTCTAAGCATCAAATGGAAATGGAAATCGAAATGGAAATGAAAAAAATGAAAATGCGGACTGTATGCGGAAACTGATGCCTAGATCAAATCAGCTGTCAATTAACGGCAACTAATATAGACAAGTGAATAAACCTTCAGAGTTGTAATATGAATATTGAAAGCGAAACTAACAGAAACTATATAAGGGCAAATATCATATGACTACCAAAACCAGGTAACGATTTAAATATTGTATGATAGAGTCTAGGCAGCAATTGGAATTCAAAGCCAAAGCAGACTAAAAAATTATTTTAGATCAGCTTAACCTCGAACGGTTACGCCTTTCTTAAGTTTTCATTATAAAATTCATAGATTTAACATTTTAATATTTAAATAAAAATTTGCAAAATAATAAATTTATTTTTAAATTAATTGCTTAATAATATATTTGAATATAAATAAATTAAAAAATTATATGAAAACTTTTAAGTAATATAAATAAATAAATGACATTTAATGGAAGTTGAGGCTAATAATAAATCTAGTGGCAATGACCGTTAGAGGCAGATATTGATATATATAATATTTAATAATAAGTTCCTTCATTTCCTTTCCATATTGAACAGTAGAGATTTTATTAAATGTAACTCAAAGTTGCACAAGTTTAGCATTCATCAAATGTTGATTTTGCCATTTATTTGTCTCCAGAGACCTTTCAATATCTACTTAGTTGTCGCAGCAGATCTATGGAACTTATTTTCAATGCAAGCTGCATTCGCTAGCTGTGAGTGGAAAGTGGAGCAAACGGTTTCCTTTATGGAGGAGCGTATAAAATTTTATGAACCATTTATGGCAAGTAAGAAAAAAAAAAAAGAAAAGAAAGAAAAAAAATAGAAAGAAGCAGAAACGAAATGAAATCAAAGAAACACATAATAGTAAAGTAGCAAAGGAAAAGAGCAGAAAACGTCGAAGCGGAATAATAATGCGATGACAACACAGAGCCATCCACAGTCAGCCAGTCAGCCAGTCTCCAGTTTACTCGACAGCCATTGCGACCATTCGAAGCACTTGCAAAAATATTATTATGATTGCTGGTGCTGCAACTGCTGGTGCTGCAACTGCTGCTGCTGCTGATGCTGATGCTGTTGCTGATGCTGCTGCAACTGCCGGCTCCATATGGAACTGGAGGGGATGGCCAGCATAAACAATCACACGCTGAGTGCGTCCACAAAATCCCATAAATAATGAAAGGAAGCTGCCCGGGCCGGGCCATAGTTTGTCGAATGATTTGAAATGAATGAAATAAATTGGTTGCTACGCAGCAGCGCAGCTACGACGACCCGGCAAACAGTAAATGTCACATACATAACTATATCTCGCTTAAGGCCACAAAGTCACAGGGCTGACTTCGCACACACACATACACACACACACTCTCGTAAATGTGCTGCAAGTGCTGCTGCAGCTGCAGAAAACTAGGTGAAAATGCACATAAAGAGATAAA